TTCTCTGACCCAAGACATAATCTGGAATAATGTCTCCATACTCCCACGGAACAGAGCGGATTGATTTCAGAACGGGATTTCCTCTCTGAAATTGAACAAGAATCGTAGCGCATAATGAAAGAGTATTTCAGTTTCCATATTAATTTGTACACCTGTGATATAAATATTCTAAAACATGTGATACTCAGACCGAGTCAAGTTTTCAGAGGTTATCAACAACGCACATCAATAAAAGAGCACGTTTGTGACAGTGAAAAATTTCGGGTGCAAATCATACATGAATCACGTCGGGTACATTTTTCATGAAAAAAATGTTTCCTACTTTCAAAATGTGTTCCAAGTTCCGTTTTTCAACATTATACGACTTACATAAAGCAAAAACAGATCAGTAGAATTCTATTACAGTATCTAGTGAGTTTGATTCAAATTTGAATTTGTTGACTGACAAAAGTTTAAACTAAGGTGTACGTCAGTGTTGCCCAACTCAGACATGACCAACAGCCAATTGCACAGTTGAAGAGTCTTTGTGGGTCATGATGGGCAATAATATTCAAGGTTCCAAATTTTCCATTTTTAAAATGAAACGTTTAAAATCTAATTCAGTTCTATGCAATGAATCAAAAGCATGGTCATATAGAATTTTTGAAAGGTAGAGAAACATTTTGAAATAGTAAATTTAATTTCCAGTATCTATTTTGAACGGTGTTTTTTATTTTGAATATATTTTCACTAGTCTTGTCTGTCACTGTCTAAATTGTTGACTGTGGGCCAGATGAAGAGTCAAGTCTCTGCAGGCCTGATCTTGCCCGTATGTTGGGCAGCATTGGTATAAATCTTACGAAAGGGTGCATGGTACTCGAATAAATGCGGGTAGGTTGTAAAAAATATTTACATTAAGGGATAGGCTAAATTTAGTTAAGGAAATATTTAGTTTTACTAACGCACCTGTCGATCACTGACAATAATCGATCCACCACTAAGCACCGCTGGAGACGGTTTGGCTGAAATGAGTGACCTGAGTTGATCCGACACTGTTGCATCTTGACTTCCTTCGTTCTGGACTACAGCAGCGTAAATATCATCAGAACTCTTTAGCCTACCGAAATGCTTCGCGAACGGATTACGAGGCTTGTCTTCCTCGTCCATTCTGTAGAAAACACACACGAATTTTCAAAAAAATACTACAAAAAATATAACATGCAACAAATCGGGAAAAGGGGTCATATCAACTCTTGATCCTCAAAAAAAAACCTGTAGATTCCACGTCGAAAGAAATCTTTGAAAATTCTTACAGGAAAATGCCCACTAA